AGCTTCATACTATATGATTGCACAGGTTAATATGTACTTGCACGCATACAAACACTGAACAGACCACAGCCTGTAAACACAGATTTGTTTATGTTTCTCCATGTCACCTCTCCAATGCTTCTTTCAAGAGCACAAGCATTAAGATTTTTTGTTCAGAAAACAGGTCTTAGAGCACAGTACGGCACAGGTTCCTTACTAAAAAGTGGCTATTTATTGCCTGTAATAATTTCTGTCACAATCACCTCCATTCTGAATGTGCCAACAGTTTTCCCACTGTTAACTGCCATTCACAATTAGAACAACAAAAAACCACCCGTGAGGTGAAATTATTTTATGAACTTGAGGAATTAGCTGCCTGCAAACTGCATCAGCTTTCTTTGGTACCTTCAGGAAGTCCATAAACATACTTAAATTGTTAACAAGCAATCGCACAGAAATGAACTCCTTATGCATTCCATTATACAGACTTCTTAGATTTAAGAAAATTTTTACAGAAATTGAAAATTTGACATATCTTTTGAGTTAGGTAACTCTACAATAATTTTTATTAATTTAGAATATTTGCCTCATATTCACAGTCTGTTGTTCTGAATAAATACCTTTACCCCATGTCTAACACTTACCCTGAGTAAGTCATCTATACGACCTTCTTTCTTTTCCAAGTCTTGATTTTTATTACTTTCTAGTGCAGCTAATTTCAGCATTGTGAGATCAGTCTAAAAAGAACATTTTGAAATATTTATCCTTTCCTTTAACAATTACAGCATTACTTTTCCCATGTTTGTTAGGCAGAGAAATAAACTACTTTAAAACATTCAACAAGACCAGCACACCTTATTTTCATGTCTTTTGGAAGTGTCATGAAAGCTTCTTATTCAAAACTGCTTTCCCTCCACATGAGGACAACTGTGAACAGTTGGGACAAGCTACTAGCAGTATTAAAACATGTCATCAGTACCTGAGAAGCTATTGTTCATAAAAAAAGCATATAAAACAAGGCAAAAATGTAAATGTCAATGAATTACTTCAAATTTTCTGCATTTGGCCAACAGGTGAAGTAGCCTTGTTCTGACTAACAGAGAACAGGTCACGTCAGAAGAGGCAGAGAGGATAAAACAGTTGCTTTAGGCTTTTGAAAGTCATGTCAGAGCTCTGTCTTGATCATTTTGATTACCATCTCATTTTTCTTTTTCAATGTCGCATTTCAAATGCAATATGACAATGGCAGCTGTCAATTCAAATACTGCCTGAGAGAGCAGCCTCTACTGCTAAAATCATTCGACAGCTAAAGCCTACCAATGATGTGGTCATCTAAGTACTCCAAAGGGGCAACACTGGGAGTCAAGCAGGTCCAGGACACAAAACTCAGAGGGATTTAAATGATGAGCTGCTAAACTGGATAGAAAAATGCTTTGGCGACTGCAAAAAGCAAAGCTTTTGAAAGCTTTTAAGAGTTTAGAAGAAGCTAAAAGACAAAGAAATCAATGTAACTCCCATTTTGTCCTACAGTCTGAAGGGATACAAGATAGCTCTACCCAAGCACTTACCTGAGTAATTTTGATAGATAACTGCTTTGGTTGTGCGATAGGGTGGTCCCCAAAAGCTAATGAAGTAGGAGAAGGACTATTCTGTCGGACCTGAAAGGCATGAAAGCAAAGTATTTTAGATACAGCTCTAATATTTAATTAGGAGCATAGCCTTGTTACAACTCTTGGCAGGAAAATCACACAGAATAGAGAAACAAAGCCTCTTTATTGCACAAGATACTACTTGAGCATTAAGAGTTATCACTGTGCTGTTACCCATCACTTGCAGTTCAGAAAGGATTCAATATATTCCTTGAGAAAACTGAGATTGTCACTTTTGGGAAACAGACTGAGAGATTTAAGACAAGACTGACATAAGGTGATGTCAGCCTTTACACAGACTCATTTTCTGATTCTAAGCTTTCACAACTCAAGAATAAAGTAATGTGAGTTATTTTTGGAGTCGTTATTTCCCATGGGAGAACCAGAAAGGGGAAGCTAGTGCAGATGAGAACACAAATCCTGTTAATGAACCTAGCTGGTGTGAATGAGACCTTTTTCAAGCCAAATTCCACAATCTGTATTATACTCCATACTGTTGGCAAGAATAAGAGGATGCCTGAAGCTGAAATTAAATGGAATAAAAGCTGAGGTCTACCAGCAGAGAAAACAAATCTTTTCTGTAACTGGCAAAATTTGTTTGGTCATTTAGAATAACATGTGGGTATGCTTAACACTGAAACTGTGCTCATGAGAAGGAAAAAAGATGAATTAGCATCACCAACAAAGAGAATTTTAAAGGGCTACAGGCAAATTGGGTATCAGTTATTTTAAAAAATTATGATATATCAAAAACTGAGCTTTTAAATCCCCTAATTAGGGGGTCAGTTTCCTCATAAGAAAAACCCCTCCCTGTTTCTGTGTGAGGCTTATGAACAGATGTCATTACAACATTTTAACATTTATTCAACATTTTACATAATTACTTTGTATTTTAAAATGATGAATGAGAAAAAAAAGTCCCAGTGTTAACAGAAAAATTTAGGTTTAATACTTAATTTGACCCCTTTCCTTTTTTCTGTTGAAATAATGAAACTGTCCTCAGGATTCTTTCCCTTGAAAACTCTTTGCTGGAATAATGCTCAAATGTGTATTATAGATTATGCTCAACAATGCTGTTTTTAGCCCACTGAATTCCCTGCAGCAGCTCTGAAGGTGACCAACTTACATAAGAAGGAGCGGAATGTGAGTTCTGCGGAGATCGGATGGCGGGAGGTACACCTCGCACGGGGCTGGAGCCGTTTCCACCTTGGTACTGTGAAACAGTTATTGGTCAAATCTTTTACCAAAATACACTTTACATCTACTGAATGATACAGCTCATCTGTACACATAATTTGTAAATCAGGTTCTATTACTTTTAGTAGTGCAGCCTTTAGCTGTTTAAAGAAAAGCGTGAAAGACAATGACGTTGTGTTTCAGTTCAGGCTGCACTAAGACACAACTGCATCTCCACCTCAAGGTTTAATACTCAGATTCTTATATAAAGAATAAAAGTAACCTCTCAAGAGGCCTGTGCATTACAAATGTTTTGTAACATCCAAAAAAGATAAAAAGTAAATTTTAAAACCAAAGTGAATTTTACAAACACACAAAATCCTTACCTCAAAATAGTCACTAATCTTGTGACCACGTCCCCCAATATTCTTTCCTGAAACAAATAAAGTAATCCATTAGAATTGATTAAATAAACTACTTATAGATATGTATTGTTTTTACCTATAAAGTAATTACAGCAAAATATTACCACTTGTTAACTGGTTTTCTTTGATGGGCTAACATGTGATGTTTCCATGTAGCTAATTAAGGGACTGGCCACAATAAAAGGAATTGCATACTCCATTCACTGAGAAATCAGATATTAAGTCATATCTCAATTCCTAAATCAGCTTCGTACAGACTTAGCAGTAACCCTAGACCTCTTCTAGGTAACAGGAAACTCATCTCTCATCCTACAGATCAAACCTTTAGTTCCAAGACCCTCTCCTTTTCAAACACTATCTCAAAGTTCACCCACTTCCAAAATACCAAATTAACCCAGTCTACCAATATTATATGCTCCAGGTGAGTTATTGTGCCCAAATGTTCAGCCCAAGGGTTTCCCTAAGTGCCACTAACAGTGTGGGTGTGGAGGATGACAAGTATTTCCAGTCCTCTTAACTTGACTATGAATTTGGTAACTCCCAACGTCAACCAGGGAAATAAACAGATCAGCGAATGAAGAGTAGAATTTCTATCTGAAACGTACTGAGACTTCAGGAACACTAAGATGAAGTGTGTATGTTCAGCACGAGCACCTGACCCATCTGTGGTATTGCAGTCACCACACCTACACCTCACCCAATGCACCAACGCTTTCCGTTTGGCCCTAAGGTGACTGAGAAATCTCAGGACTGTATTTGTCCCTTGTACAGGACAGACTACCTGTTGGGAGACATCGTGGAAATGGACTATTGCTCAAAGGTTTTACTTTATAGAAAGAAATGTTTGCAATAAATTAGGAGACGATTACCCAGAGATCCAAAAATATAAGTTTGGACTTTTTAGCAAAGATTTTCCAGCTTTTCTGTTGCTTCATCCCTGACGAATTCTTTCTAGTCCACTATGTCTCTATACTGGTGCTGCTGCATAACTCTGTATCACTAAGAAATGCCATGAAGGAACAGAAACATTTGGCAGCCCTTAATGTGTCAAGACTTTTAGTAGGAAAATGTAGATAAAATAATTCCAGGGCCTAGAACAGCACACAGGTAACCTCTGCAGTTGTTACAGGTGGTGTATATGTCTCACTGCTACTTCCCTCTAGCCAATTCTTTACCTATCCTTTCACTCTTGCTAGTGATTCTTATCTACATGCTTAATTCTCATTTATCACGTGATCAAATTAAAACTTGCTTTCATGCAGATGAGACAGACTGCATTCCTTTTCAGTGTAGACAAATATACTTTATGACATGTTACAGAACTCTGCACTGAAGAAATACATCAAATCATTTTGGCACAGCCAATTATGAATAGATTTACACTCATTTTACCTCACATTCCAATTCCCTGCTTTCTTCAACATTTATGGCTTATTTTACATACTACAAAGTCAATATCCTGGGTATGCAATACACAAGAGGTGGATCTCGTTTCTCCTTTTCAATATAATAGCAGTATTTGCACTGTACCACTCCAACAGGCTGCAGTTTCCTAGGCCAGTTCCTTGAGAATGTTGCAGCACAGATTATTCAGTTTCACTGCTACTGACAGTAAAATAGTAATTATAAGATATTATAATCATGCTGTCTATGTTTTAAAAGTTCTTAAAATTTCCATCACCTCTAATTTCAACTCTCATTGGTAACAGGAAGCTCAGACTATTAGAACAATGGAAAGAGCAAATTTCATTCAAGTTCTTTGAACAAAGCAGGTGTCTACGGAGTGACAGTTACAAAGCAATTAATTTTAGTCAAGCTACATAATAATTCTACTAAAAGCATGTTGCATCATGAAGACTTCCAGATATGGAGCCCATTGATATTTATCTGAAGTGACATTTTCTAGCTCAGTTAAAATGAAAAAAAAAAAGCTAATACAGATGTTATCAGAACTGTTTCCTCTGCCCTTTTGATGAATTTATGTCTTGAGGCTAAATTTCCACCATTCCTCCCCAAAAGTCATATGAAAGAGAGGAATGGCAAAACCCAAACTTTGTAAATATTGAATTAGAAATTGGTCTCACATTGCCCCATCCCTGTAGACAAAAAAAAATTCAGAGTTCTTATATACCTGTAAAACAAGCAATCAGATGTTGCAATCTGTAATCTCCCTCCCCCACTACCTACTGAAAAGAAATACAAACCACAAACTGATTTTGCCTGAGAAGAGCTGCTATATAATTGTTTAAAAGAATAAAGTTGTATCATAGCTGCAAGTTAGACACAGAGTAGCTCAGGATTCTTTATGGCAATTACAAGCCCAGTTCAGATTTTACCTGCCCATTCCTTCCAGTGACTTATGGGAGGGGAAGGAGGATACATAATTTATCGTCCAAAACCCAACACCTGTCTTATGCAAGCAAAAATACAGTATTTTTAAGGCTAACATACAAAACATTGTGCATTACAATTAGATCTAATACATGCAATAACTATCTAATTAATTTACATCTTAGTTTACCTTGGCTGCTTTCACTCTGAGTGTCTGCTTTTCTTTTTCTTCCTCTGGAAGGTTCTGACTGTTTCTTCTCTGGAGTCTACAAACAACAAAAACAACATGATGAAACAGCAGCTCTGTGTATTGATATTATTGCTATATTATTGTGAAATAAATGTAAATCCTCATTCATAAAACATGATTTCACAATTGTGCAGGGGTGTAATTTCAGATCACAGTTAAAGCAGAGAATATGATCTTTGGTCAATCAGATAAGTACAAGCTAGAAAAGATATATAAGAAAGCAAGAAATAATTCTTACATTATTTCCCAAATAGCAATTCTACATATTAATTGTTAAGCAATTATATCTCTTCATCCATTCCAGTATTTATCAACACTCAATGTGGTTTCATTTATGGCTGAATTTTACCAAGAACTCCATGTTATAGTGTGGATGTTTCAAAGCTTAATACTTAATCTGACTCTTGATGGTGTTTTCTACACATTTCCACAGCACAAACACAAAGTTCTAGTGCTTCAATAGAAAGCCAAGAATGTTAGGCATTTTCAGAAGTGCAAAAGACTTCTCCAAACTAATAAACTGCAGATTTCTACAATTTGCTTAGGATTAAAAAGAAAGATACAGAGAAAACATTATTTTTGCTAAAAAGTTTAATATCTATCCACTTGGAAAGTACTGTCCTCCCTGCCCCATTACACTTCTATCTCAAGAAAGTGAAAGAAAAATGTCAATGATAAGTGAAAAAACTATAACTCTGTTAAAAATGTATTCCAGGAATACTATATACAGTTGCCTAGAAATTACAATCAGCGTGTACAACACAGATAACAAGAAGAAGCTGTGATCAGAAGCATCTCTAATTTTTATTTGCTCTTCTCTAATCTGAGGATTCAAACCAGTTAGTCTGCCCAGCACAAGTTAAATGGTAAAAGCTGCTTTGATTCAAGGAAGACACATTGCAGCTCTGTGTGTGTGTATTCAGTCTTCATGGTGCTTTGTATGCAACTGGAGAAAGCACAGGAGCCATTACATGAACTATTTTACAATCAATAAATCAATGGTCTCTAGTATCTTAGACTAAAAGTGAGTGCAGTGATAAGATGCTTCATTTTTTCATGATACCATCACTTTATCATTTCACTGTACCTGTCACTTTGTGCTCCAAATATGTCATCTCAGCACAGGAAATTAGATCAAATTCAAATGTCAACCATTACTAAAAGCATTTCAAGTATGTTTCAGTTCCAAAATCTTCACATGGATATCTTCAAATATAATTTTCCTACAAATACCCTAAAATATTTATTTTGGCAAGAACCACTTTAAGCTAACTGTGATGTGCAGAAAATGCCCAGTCTATAGAAGAACCAGCAGGACAAGAAAGGTCTTCCTTACCTATACCATGTACTTTTTGTAAGTTTTAACTCTGTGAGCAGCTTCATAAAAACCTCTTTGCAAGCTTCAGCATTCTAACTGTTGCATTATCGGCCTACAAATATACATTTTATTTTAAATAAACTCATCCAACACTGTCTGCATCTTTTACAGTGCTCTCACACATTAGCAAACTGTACAACACAGACTCCTGGAAGTGAAGTTCTCTTAAGACTGTAGGATTCTAAAGGCAGAAAGCATAGCTGACAAATATTATTGCAATAATTTGCTATTACTGCCAGGTAAATAGGCAACATTAAGCTAACCATCCACGAACTAAGCTGAAACTATCTAACCACGCATTTATGTACTATTCTTATTTTTCAGCTTTTAATTTTGCAGTTACATTCTAATGTAGTCAGTTTTACCTACCATACCAAGTAAAAAACCCCACAAAATACCTTTATTTAGAAGCTAATTAATGACTAAACATTTAAGACCTCCCCCATCAAAACTAGTTTCCAACTCCTGTGACTTGTCTTGTATTTAAAACCCAGACATATAAAGAGGTCTATAGTTTTAAAACTGAAACTCAAATAATTTATAAATGTCTATTTCCTGAAGCTCTTCTAATTTCTTTCAGTGTTTAATTTAACCTTCTAAACTAGAAAGTATTAGCACACTAATGAGGTTATTAATGAGGTGATCCAACAAGGTCATGTTCACCTTTTCTAAGCACAAAATTCACACGGTAATGCACAGCATACATCAATCACCACAAAACGTTCTCCAGAATCCTTCCTAATGAACGGAATCATATGAATGACAAGAAATTGGAGACTGATGGGGCTGGGAGTATCCTCCTGGTCAACAAAGGCTGAAGCTGCTTTCTGTTCTTCAGAAGCATTTCCATGTAGCCAAGATTTAGATTAAAATCATACTATTTCATAAGCAAGACAAAATAGTTTTGATGTTATCCAAAGGCAGATTGTAAAGTTCTGTTACAGTCACACAGAGTTTGGCATATTAGCAGAGCCTCATCCTGGTCTTGATCCTCTTTTATAAAACAAAGATTTAAAAGTACCAATTTTCAACTAGTTAATCTCCTTTTAAAAAACACTCAGATAAGTATTTTTATATATTTTATAGGAAGTTAAATATTTTCTACCATTGTTGTAGAACTGGTAACAGCATTACTCAGTTATTTTTGTAGAAGGAAAAAAAGTCAAAATAATGTGCAATAAAAGCGAAGTTTCTACTTTTTTGCGTCTCAACACTTAAATAGCTAGCACACTCAAATAGCTATAATTTTTAAGTTGTTAATACTTTTCACACACATAATGCATGAGTTGATAGTTTTCCACAATTATTTTCTTCTCAATCCTACCCTCCTCCCAAAGCTTTACAACTGCAACTAGCAAGTACAGAGTGCTGTTTTCCTCTGCAACATATTATAAATTCTAATTAGATCAAAACTTCAGTTACTTCTGAAATTACATTTATAATGAGGGTTCTGTACTATTGAAAACTGCAGCAGCTAAGCAGCAACAAGCAAGCTGAGCAAAACATTCACATAACTAATCAAACTGGACAAATCAAGCCACAGACAAAGCTGTCCTCCCTGAAATGATTCCTTAGCTGCAGAGAACAGAAAATTAGTTAGAAATAAAAGAATGTATTTGCAACCAAAACAAGGAGCAATATACCTGAATGAGGAATGGGGAGGAAAGCCAAAATATTGGAACACTATTGTAAGCACCTGAGAACAACCCGAGGTAGCCAATTTAGGCTTTCTCTTCACTCCAATTAACTAATAATTAAACACTCAAATTAAGACCTACGTACCACAGGAACAAGCATTTCATAAAATAAAAATTTAAAAAAGGAATTACAAAGAAATTAGAATGTTGGTCTGGATACCGAGATCAAACACCCAGCTAATGTTTACTGCTCACAAGGCTGAACTGAATCCAAAATCAAACCTGGTTTCAGGTTATTTTGCAGATCAAAGTTTAACTCTATTTAAATTATTATCCAGGTGAGCTGCCCATCTTCATACATCCATCAGACAGGAAAAAAAAAAGACTACAGTTCTAACAGATGAACTTTCTGCAATCCTGTGTGCAAAAAGCTAAAAGGAAGAAAATCACACCAGAAAACGAGGAGTGTGTGTGCGTGTGGGAAGCCTTCCTTGTTTTAAAAACTAAGTGTGAAAGAGTGACTCTCTTCCAGTGTGCCACTTCGTGATGAAAGCACAGCACAACCACATCGATGTGCCATCACAAGTTGATCAGAAATTGACATTCTTGCTGGAAATTAATTTCAACTATTCTGAGGTTTGCATTTCCCTCCCAAAATGTACAACCGCCTCTGTCAACATCAACTGATGGCACTGCTTCCAGAACGAGCAAGTCTACACATTTCCACATCCACAAGAGGAATTCACTATTGTTATGACACTCTGGAAGTCATACCATTAAAACAAAACCAACATACACAAAAAAAACCAGTTTGCAGCATAAGGAACTACAGTTTACTTTTTATAGTAGTACAGCAGATAAGTAATCAGATGATATTTTAAGAGCAAAACTCTGAAGGTTTATTAACATATTTGTTAGTACAATTGTAATTTAAGAGAATACAACTTAGAATTTCTGAAGAAGAGTCAAGAAATTGTATTTCATTACTCAACGTCACTAAGACTCATCTTTTCCTGTGCAGTGGAGCACTGGACATCTGTGTAGGGACATTTCAGAAAACAAGGCCTATTTATGATTCAGAGTACTAAAAAATAATTTTAAAAATCCTTACACAAAAGCATGGCTTGAGGTTAAAACACTGTCCTGAGACTTTACAACTTCCATGCCTTGGAAAAGCCTCCGTATCTCATGTAACAACTGTAAAATAGCATTTTCCTACCCCAAAAAGTTATTACACACAGAGTCAGTGTTCTGAGGTCACTCCCCCACTCACAGACACATTTTCCTGTCAAGGAGTTGCAATAATGCATCATAGCCTTCAGGCTACTGCAGCATATTTTCATTCCCACACCTCCATCAGAACTGCATCACTGCCCAAAGTATTTCTAGGAAAAGCCACGAATAAAAACAACAGGCAGACAGAATCTTCTGGTTAAGAAAATAGTCTATGCAGCTGAATGGATAATCCTGCTGGGAAAGGTGAGAGGAAAAATAAACACAGCAGAGACTTTTTCAGTGAGGAAAACATGAAATCACACCATACAGAACATTTATTTATAAGGTATCGGCCTTGGGAACCAACTGAATTCCCTTGCTGGGCAGCCTGGTATAAAAGCAAACATCAGACAGTGTCTCATAGTGACTGAGCGAATGAACAATTAGGCCCCAAAATAAAGCTTTGACATGTGAAAATAACGTCAACAGCACATTCCAAACAACTCTCCCTCCAGCATGACACACACTCAAACACAGGTCTGGCCTAGGCTAGAAATATGCTCTTGCTTACAATGCCATCTGCCATGTGCACAGGCACAACGCTCAGAGGGACTCACTGACCCCCAGAACAGGGAAATTCTGAGAGCTGCACTACGGCAACTCTATCAGTGCTCATCACTAAGAGGAAAATCATCTACTCGAGGGAAGTCTGTGCTCTGCACATTGAAACTTAATAAAAGTATGAACCCTTTTTTAGATTACTCAGTGGTATTAAGTAAGAAAGCATGCAGTGACAACTGCAGCTTTTACAAATACAGATGACAGCTACTGTCTGACCCTGGAATAAGTCCATATTTTAAAATAAAACATAGCAAACAAGTTTCTAGAGCATTTTTGAAGATGGAGCCAAAGACTAGTCAAAGTTTCTCCATGCTGATGAAATGCTTATGACAGGAGACAGCAAACTTTAAGCATATTCAGCTCCAAAAGCTGTATGTATCCTCACAGCATGACTACATAGGTAATAAAAGAGCAGAAGCAGCCAGTTTCATGACCAAATATCCCAAGAAATTCTGGCTTTTTCCAGCATGTTTCCTCCCCCAAGTGATGGTATCTTCTAGTAATTTATATTTCTTCTTATCTAGCTGAGTAGTTTGCATTTTAATTTAAAAGTTCCTATACAAAATAAGGCACCAGAGTAGAATATAAAAATATGACTTGTTAGCATTAAAATTCTGAGGTCATAATGAATCTGCCCCACACACTTACCTCTGATTCTTTATCACTTAAAGATCCCAAGCTTCCAAAGCTGTGATTTGAACTCTCGTTATTTGTTGAGGCCTACCAAGACAAGTAAAACACTCAACATTATATACAGATCTGTAAAACAGCTAATCCACTATTATCACTCACAGTTACAAGTAATAGTCATTTCATGCTTGCATGGAAAAATACATTAACTATAGAGCACTTGTGACATGCAAGGAGAACAAGAAGTTTGACAGGTGGATAGTCTGACAGAGCACAGCAAAGTCAGAATTTTGATCGATTGTAGGCCAAGTGAAACCCTAGAATATTCAAAAACATTTCAGTCTTATTTGGGAACAGCACAACATCCAATGAAAAGTCCTACCAAATGATACCACAGAATGTGTTTAAAAAGCCATTGCTGAAAGAGGAGACTACTGAAAATTTTTTTTAAAAAAAGGGTTTGATTTTCTCCAAGACATACTAGGCTATTGCAGGATTATTATTTTAATCCATTCAATGACAGAAAATTAAAATCCATTGACAGGATGATTCTACATTCTGAAATTATATTCCCCTAAGTAACAAAGCTACCCGGGGCGACTGTGAAAAAAAATCAAATAGTGAAATAGTCTCACATAGCAGTATTTATTTAGAAATTTACTAAGGCTGATTGATTCAGAGATCTTTTGAACAGAGCATGGCAACATGGACATTTTTACTGAGAGAGTCTTTTCCACACTCACCTAACAAAACATGCCAACATCAGCTGAGTCTTTTTTTATTATAAGAAAAAACCCAGCTCTCATACTGCTGGATTATTCTTCTCCATATAGGAAGGCAAAACAAATACTTTGAAGTGAAACAACTATTTCCAAGGCAAATAACTTGCTTCAAAGCATTAAATTCCAGCACTGCATCAGCTTGCAGGATAGTACTGACCTGTGACACCTTCTGAATAACTAGATCATCTCTCAATTACGATTTCCGGAGAAATATTAACAAAACCTCCGAAATTTCCATGTATGTTTTCCCCCAGGGCAATCTCTAGTATAGAAATGCCCACAGTATTTCTTCCTTGCAATGTCTAAGTATCTGCTCAACAAAGTCAGCTAAGACAATAATCTCAGTAACCTATATTCATGTTTCCAGCCTTGCCTACTGAAAAAACAAAGATTATGGGCTCTTCCCCCCCAACAATTACAAAACTCTTCAGCAAAACAGTACATAAAGGTAGGCTTACAAAGAGTTGTCCCAGTAAGAGTCCATCTCAATTTAATTACTAAATGAATGCACAAATACAAAATACAAACCTAGAATATTTCAGAAAATAACCAGTAACTGCAGCTGCAAATTCTGCATTGTCTTGCTAAGTTAGGAAAATGAGAATTTGGTCAGTGTGGATTTGTACACAAAGAAGAAGTTTTCTCATTCTTGACTTCAAAGTGAAAGCAAAACAATGGATATATTTACATATCACATTTTCCCAGTTACCTCTGCAAATCAGGTCAGAAAGGGTTTATCAGGTTTTTTAATCAAACTCAGATAAGCCTCTCTCAACATTCCCCACCAAGACTAAAGACTATATAAAAAGGCAGCACAAAACATATTGCAAACACAGAATCACACCATATACAGAGTTAGAGTGACCCTTGAGGATCGTCTTAGTCCAACTCCTGGCCCTGCACAGAACATCCCCGAGAATCACACCCTGTGCCTGAGAGCATTGGCCAACACTACTACAGGTCAGCTACTACACTTCCTGTTAGCTGCATGGCTACACTGAATGGCCACAAATAAAAGAAATACAAACAAAACTGATACACTTGTCATTTTACTGATGGTGTAAAAAATCACAGGACTAGATATTGGTACCCCCCTCTCCCTCCCTGCCTCCAAAAACCTAAAGGAATGAAGCAGGAAAAAGAGATATTGCACTGTATACTGAAGATTGTTTGTGGAATATTTATGGTAAGAACAACAGTGTCTTAGATGAGGATTCGCATGTATCAGAAAACAGTGGCAGTAGTACCCTCTGCAAACAAGTATCAAAGCATTTGATAGTATCAGAAACCCCACTTTATCCAGATATAAATTTGGAAACCAACCGGGTGAGATACAGATCTTGGAATGCAATCAGGGACAAGAAATTTATGTTTTCCATGGCAGAGTGAAAAGGGAAATTAATATTTGAGATTTCTGTTTTTTTCTGTCTAACTTGGATGTACAAACTGAGATGTGAAAGTGGAATGTAATTTGGTTAACAGTGAAATCAGTTGAACAGATTTTTGGAAATGGTAAGCAGTGACTCATAGGAGATCAAAGTTTAAAGAAACTTGACAATGTCTTTTAAAGAAAATGCTTTACACACACAGCAGTACACAGATTCTGAGGAGAAAAAACTGGAGATAAGGCAAGGGACCAAAACAGCTGTATCAAACACTAAAAGTTACATGAAGTTAAAGGTACAGATCTAGTAATGAGAAAGAATAACTACTTATTTTTATTAGGAGCAACTACCTGAGCTATTACATTGAGCTAATTAATTAGGGGAGTAAGCAGTATCAGAGAACCCAATAAATCAAGAAACAAAGACGGGCCAGTACTACTGCGTTTGTCTCTATCTAATTTTAATCATAAGCTATGGCAAGGATACATTTTTGCAGTCATAATGAGAAAGCAATTAAACAATTCATCAACCTCTCTGTGCGAAACCAACCTCATTCCTTCCCCTGACCCTTTAACTCATTCTTGGTAAAGATCATTGCAACAAGTGATATGTCACCTTTTTACAGCCTTGTGACAGTCACCTTCCTGTCACTCTCAAAAATTAATCCAGAAGATACGACGCAAGCTCACTATGCAATAATTTCAATCTTTTACTGTTTGCTAATAATCATCAATACATCACACGTCACCGGAAGTTTCATCAAGTCTGCTATCAGGGAGTATTTTGTTCTGTAATCTATACTTGCAGCTAAAATACAGCCAAGGAAGCAAAAAAATACTACAAGTTTGTGTAAAATATTTAAAATATCAGGACACTTCAAACACTTTGAAAACAGAATTCAGAAGTACTTTGGTCATGAGGGAAATGTGCCTAAAAATTAGCATGATATCTTTATAACATCAGTTTATTAAGTACTACACTTGATGTAGAACATTCGAACGCACAAATACAAATGGAGTACCTCTGGCTGGGCAAAAGCATTGCAGAAATCAGCCTTGGAAGCTGAAGCTAGTAACATGAACAGAATTTGCAATAAAGGCACATTTATTTAGCAGCTGTATCAACTGAAGGGTAATATAGGACATATGGAAGGCAATTAAGTCCTGCTATTCAATGTTCACAAGGTTTTTCCTCAAGTGCTGCATCCTGGCTCAGATACTAATGGATAGACTGCAGAAAGTCTACAATGAAAGTAGGTTAAAAAAATACATAAATATGTCTGGAAATGTTGAAATGATTTGTTAATCTAGATGTATTAGTCTTCAAATAAATTTAATCTCAAAACCAGAGGTCACACCAGACTCCCTGTGTCTATTTCAAGCTGAACTGTAAGTAGCTGGCCACCTGCAGAAGGGACAACTCCACTTAAATACTGGGAAAAGTTTCCATCTCTGTCACATATGCAGTACAGCAAAACCACAAAAGAGCCTGTATAAGCTCATCCTTCAGTGTTCTTCCACCCCCATACTTCTGCAAGTAAATGACATGGACAATATACAAGTGAGACAGTGTGAGATAAATGATTTCAAAGATGGCAGATCTGAATGACTGCTCTTAGGACTTACTTTAGCTCCAACACTGCAACTTCCAGTACTCCCAGTGCTGCCACTCACTACTCCTGTAAACCTTGCCTCTAACAATTCTTGTCTTCTTGGGTCCAGGCTATGAAGCTCATCCATTGCTCCTAGAAAAGATAAATAAATTCATTGTATTTCCAAATATTTGCAGTGGAATATTTTGCAAAAAAGCCAAACAAACCCACTGGCCTATGCAAAGCAAGGATTTCTATCCTCAACTTGACAATGACTCACCATCTGTTACCAACGCACTCCATGAATTGCCGAAATTTTGGGGAAAGTTCTGTGTATCAGAATAGCCCTGTCAATTCTGGTGAAAGCTAGAACCTGTTAGAGGCGTGTAAGAGACATGCAATCTGCAGGATGCAATACGCCAACCAGGAAATTATTTATAGATTAAAAAGTAGCTGACAAGAGCAAAATATTTTCCAGCACAAAACCTCCCAATTCTGCAATGCATTCTGCAATGCTCCTATTTTCCGTATTATTTCAACTGGTTAGGCTATCAATGCATCAATGTCCAAGATGAACAGGTAGGACTCTAATTCAAAAAAAAACCCAAAAAGGCAAGCCAGAAGGTAGATCACAGTCCTCACCACATGCAAGGGATTGCAGTGTGACACGGAGGTTTGAAGGGCAGAGAAGGAAGGAGCGGGATTAGCTATAGAGAAGGAGCCTAGAGTAACAGAGCCCCTCGCACAGGTGGGAGCTTTGAGGGAGCCCTGCTAAACGGGGGAAGCAGTGCTGCTGGCACCGGCACGGAAAACAAGGTGGAAGGAAATGGAGGAACAAAAGGAGTTTCTGATGAGCTCAGCCTACATGAGTAGGCTGCAACATGATGTGCAGCTTTCTAATTTGTATTTAAATCACTTACGGCTGTTTAATGAGTCTGAAAGATGATCTAGACAAATAATCTTCCATATTTACACAAACTGCATTCTTTGTTTTTAGTTTTTCAACTACTCAAACATTCAGTTTATCTTCAATTGGAAACATTTCAGTTGCTGTATTTTAAATAAGATATTTAATGCCATAGTCTTTATGCACTATTTTAATAGCATGTACCACATAAAGTAATATAGCCTCAATTTTTTCCAACTAAGACACAACAGGTTGGTGCCTCTCAGTCCCACAGGACAACACAGCAGTTCAGAAAGGAAGAGTAATATGAAAAAAAGGTTTTGGAGCTCCATTTCCATGAAAACTACAGTGTGCAAAGTTTAATACCACAAACCTCTACCCATCAGCTAAACATTCTGACAACCAAAGCACCAATGTAGCTTTTTCCTCACCATTAACAAGTCAAGAGATACTTTTTTATACAACTCTTGGGTATCTCAAAATTTTTCGCATTCAAGGGCTAGACAGATCTTTCCATACCACACATTTTGAGCTCTCCTGGCCATGCAGCTAACCCCCCTGCTAGGGAAAGCACTGGTTCTGCTACTGGAGTAATTCAAGTTGCCCTTGTTCCTGTGGGAAGACAGATGATGGTGAATGTGGTGTCAGCACTCCTTTACCACAGGGCCTGGTAACAGAGTTCCTGTGATGGAAGAAAACCACAAGACAACATACGGGAAATGGCAGAGCCTACATCTGAACAATCAAACCACAAGTGGCAGATTGAGGCTAGCCCAGTTTGTTTCTGGACATGGGGAGTTTACTGAACACAGCCACATACAGAGCTGCAGGACTCTTCCGCAGCGCAGGAGACTTACAGTTTCCAACTGTAGCTGGCTGATCTGCAGCTATAATGCTGCTTCTGAACTTGCCTAGTAAACATTTCTCCAATTTCTACATAGTTTAGATTGTAAAATCTCTGGGTTAGAAACTGGTTTACTATGTGCATGTTGAGTGCAGAACGATCAGGAATCCTCTTTAAATTCTTGCTCCCTAGAATGTGTATACTGCTTTCTAGGGTCTTTATAACAGTTTGTACACGTCTCATATGCTCAAAAAATATTTCCTATATTTATCCACTGTACAGTAAGGATATGGGTTTTTTTAAGCAGATGTGAACAGCATACCTTTCCCAGTAGGTATGTAATCTATACGTTAATGGGAAAGTATTGTTCTGAAAATGCATAAGCAATGAATCACACCAGATTTGTCAGGCAAGTTTAAACAATTATATTTTGCTTCATAACAGTAAGAGTGTTTAAGTGTATGCCACTCTGATATAACTCATTTTAGCTTACCAAAGTAAACCATTTAATGAACAGGTGCAGCAACATTTTGATAGTCACTGTGCGTAGAAGTTACCTCCTTTTACAGGTACTGTCAGCTTTAAAGCATTTCATGTAAGGGACCAGAAACACCAGACTTCATAAATTCTCCTGCTCACAGAATGCCTTACTGCCCACAAGACAGACATAACCTATAGTTTTGAAAATATACCCAGACTTACACCTGAAAGCCAACTCGCTAATTCAAAGCACGCACGATCCCCTTACACAAGTAGTGCATTTACCATGATGCTAAAGGAAAGACTGGCACTGCTACCATTCCCTGCCACCCAAACCTCTACTCTCTTCTGATGAGAATGCCTGGAAGATTACTTGAAACTCACCAAAGGGTCCTAAAAAACTACTGTTCTTTACTTCTTGTAACCACTACAGATTTTTGAATGCTCCTTCTAACAGGCTGTTGTTATTATAAAATCTAACACTTTATAGCTGTTGTATTTTTCTGGAGTGTTGGTATCCTCCATATTAATTTATCAGAGCCATACACAGCTTCTCCTCTAAAAACTAATAAAAATTTACAGATTTCAGGCCCTGAAAAGGATGCTTTTAGCAAGAACTCTTTTGAAAAGAACTACCAAGTCCTCTGAGTAATGTCAAGTCAGTTACAAATCAGAGAAGCAATCTGTAAGCTTTTTCCTGGCACTCAATATAATCAATTATACCATATTCTACCTTAGCAAAACAGAGATGTAAAGATTCAGAGGATTCTCCATAGTAGCTTGAATTTTTCAGAACCAGTGAGCAGAAAACAATGAACTACCACTACATCTGGACCCAAAGGCCCCACACCCCCAAATACACAAATTCTTGCAAATGATCCACTTATTTAACCAAATACTTGCTCATACCTTAGCAAAATTGACATTTTAGGAGGAAAAGTTTAGCAGAGAGTTCCAGCTGCAAGTCTTCACCTTCTAAAACTGCTGCTTTTGTGATACTCTTGTCCTACGATTTCTCTCTTAACACTGCTGGGGACTACACGGAGCAGCATTGCAGCTCAGAACAGGAAGGCCTGACAGGTCAGATGTATTTTTCTTTTCCATTAAATATGGAATCAAGCTCCAGGACTCAGTGTTTATCTTTGACTCTCTTATTACCCTGAATTGACTCTTGTTATCTGGCAATCAATTACAGCTTTCAGATGAAGAAAGATCAACAGCTTCACACATTGTCAGCTTTCTACAATGAAGATAAAGTTCATTATGCAGAAGCCAGATTCTTCCTAGAACAACTCTCCAGATCAGATTGAGGCCCCCCTTCTCCTGAATTCAAGGCCAGCACAAACCACCTTTCACTTAAGTGAAAGCCATACTGGTTTGGTCTGGTTTCTTCGACACATTTATATGCGTACAGCTTTTAACGTCAAAGCGAAATACTTCAACATGGAGACCTATCTGTTGAATAGAAACAGACAGTTCAACAATAGCCCAAATGTAAATTCAATTTCCTGATGTGCTCCTAGCAGGCACTCAGATTTTAAGACAACATACATGGGAAGCAAGTTATGCCCAACATATCTTTAGGAACACTTTGCATTAACATTGCTAATATTGCCACCATGTAGTCTCTTCACTGACAGCAGCATCCTTTAGATCACCAATTCTAACTAACATCCACCTAAAAGGGCAAGGGGTGAGAAAAGAAAAGATGTGTGTGTACACATTTCAAATGGCAGGAAAAACAGCCTGGAGAGCAACTCTTTTTTTGCCCTCCCTACTCCCCTGCCCCTTCTTAAAAAAAACCCCAAATAAATCAAGATTCTTTTAAAGCTAACAAGCCAGCCTTTAAGCATGGTAACCATTCCAAGTATACAAACCACTGCTTAACAGCACTGCAATGCAATCCTTAAAGTCTTTAAGTAACTGTTTATTTCAGTTTGGAATACCTAAATACACATCTACCCCATTATGTTGATGCTCTCATAATTTAACTTCATAACAATTGAGTATGACAGCTCTTGCCATTCTAGAATACACCAGGAAAGCTTTCAAATATCAAATGCAAAGCAGACTACAGAACATCACTAAAAATACAGATTTCTTAATTCTTAAGCAGACTCTGAAAAGGCCATACAACTACTTTTCTTCTTTCACCAACATGAAGCGTCTTGTCTCTGCATCTACGCGTATTTTGTTTGAAGTGAGCTGCTCTCTTGTCTCATACAGGAGAAGAAACCTCCGCCCAGGTCACAAACAAACCCAGCTAACCAAACCATGTACCCAAAGTCATTCTTCTTCCTCAAACTCTGACTTTCCATACTGCAGAACCAACCAGAAAGGACTCTTCCATTTTCTGGAAAACAAGGTAGTGAAGCTAGTATTTCTGCCTCCAAGTAAACAAACCATTTGGTCACAAACTATTACATAGTTAGCTAAACACTAGCAAGTCACCATCACATCTCTTCCAGCTTGTACTTTATACACCTGCTTCAGTACCTTATAATAAAGTGGGAATAAAATGACCCAGAACAGGTTGTCAGTGAAGGAACAGAGGGAGCACTAAAATACGAGTCTAATCAAGAAAAAACGTACAAAAAACCAAAATACTTTATGACATCAAACTATATGGAGTGAATTAAATTTCTTAACTTGTAAACTGAAGAAAATGGAACCTGTTCAATTTAAACAGAACATCTGGTCTGTGAGGATGAGAAATTAATAAAAGTTAAAAAAAACCAAAACAAAACTCCACCATCACACAAAGTTTACCTCTGGTGCTAAACCATGTTTTGAATAGGTTCTCTTCCACAGCATGTTTTGGGGAATTGCGGGAAACATAATTGGAAACTACAAATGTGCTAAGCAAACAAGTTGAGATGCTAGTATGACGGCATAAAGCCAAGTGGTTTTAATTTAA